AAAAGAAATTGAGAGTTATACTTAGTCGTAGGGTACCATGTGCATAAAGCACAGGTTTGTTACATATGTATACTTGTGCCAGTTGCTGGTGGCTGCACCCATCAACTCTGTCAGCACCCATCAACTCGTCATTTACATCAGGTATAGACCCCAGGGCATCCCTCCCCCCTACCCCATGATTGGCCGGTGTATGATGTTCCCCTTCTCCGAGTCAAAGTGATCTCATTGTTCAGTTCCCACTATGAGTGAGAACATGCGGTGTTTGGTTTTCTGTTCTGGCAATAGTTTGCCTGAGAATGATGGTTTCAGCTGCTCCAGTCGACCTACAAAGGGACACAAACTCATCCTTTTTTATGGCTGCCATATGATTCCAGGGTCGTATATGTGCCCACATTTTCTTAATACCAGCTGTCGAGGCTGATGGACATTTTGGGTTGATATCCAAGTCTTTGCTGTTGTGAATAGTGGCGCAATACAGGACATACGGTGCATGTGTCTTGCTATAGCAGCGATGATTCAATAATCCGTTGGGTATATCCCCAGTAAGGGAGATGGCCGGGTCATATGGATACTTCCTAAGTTCGTAGATCGCGAGAATCGCCATACGTTTCCATAATGGTTGAACTAGTTTACAATCCACATAGTGTAAAAGTGTTCCTATTTCTGCCACATCCTTCCCAGCCACCTGTTTGTTTCCTGACTTTTTAATGATTGCCACTGTTCTAACTGTGTGAGGATGGTATGCTCATTCGTGGTTTTGATTTGCATTTCCTCTGATGGCCAGTGATGATGAGCATTTTTTCATGTGCTCCATGTTGGCTGTTATGAATGTCTTCTTTGCAGAAGTATCGGTTCAGCATCCTTGCCACCTTTCTTGCTTGGGGAGTTGTTGTGTTTTTTTCCTGGTAACAGCAGCTGACCAGCACCGATTGTCCGACAATCCCTAGTGAGATGAACCCGGTACCTCAGTTGAAAATGCAGAAATCACCTGTCTTCTGTGTCGCTCGCGCTGGGAGCTGGAGACTGGAGCTGTTCCTATTCGGCCATCTTGCTCCGCCCCTACATATTTCAATTTAATGTGTTTATTAAAAAGGTTTGGAGTATAAGTAGCCAAAGTGATCTACTTTTACTTGATACACAGTTAATTAATTGGCACTCTTTAGCAGGTGTCAGTAATACCAGCAGTGATTTATTGGGTACCTATTAAAAGTCAGATAATTGAATTAGATACTTCACTTATTTAATTATACTTAATTCTCACAGCCTCACCTATCTATGAGGTAGACAGGCATTATCCCTGTTATGCAGATGAAACTACTAAGACTTAGATAATTTAATCACTTTGCCTAACTAAGTCCTCATAAGTCATAGGGTTGGTATTAGTCAACAAGTTTATCTAATTTCAAAGCCTTGTTTCGTTCTATAGTCTACACTTCCTTCATATAGATGACTTAATATATTGGCATTCGCTTAAACTAAGTAGCAAGAAAATATTAGTAACATGTATTTGTACTAAATTCATTTTTATACTTAAGCACTCCTTCCATTATATCTTTTTTTTGGGTAAAACTATGTGTAAATGTATTTTTATTGTTGAAAAAATTCTACTGATACATAATAATT